TTGTGCAACTAAACGCCATTATAATAATTCATATTAAGATAAGTGTCACAAATCTGTGCAGAAGGATATCTGAGCTGTGGAGCTGCAGGAGGAGCTCTGTGTGCTGAGCTCTGACACCAAATGCAGGGCTGTAACGCAGAACCTGGAGGCTGGGGCTGGAGGGGGGCTTTAAAATCCTATTTATAGTTTCCCAGATACTAGAACACAGAAAAACACACACAAATAACTAAAGTTGTTTCTGTCCTGTTGTAACCATAAACAATCTTCCCTTCAGTTCAACCTTATAAGTGGAGACACATAGTTGATGTTACTATTATAAAATAACTTGCAATTAAGTTTTGGCAAAGCTCAAAGTAATTTTCACAGGTGGTGGAGCGTTGTTGTCATCAGCTGCTGAAAGTAACTAAAAAAATTACCTTTAATGTAACTTAGTTACTTTCCAAATCGAGTAATCAGTAATCAGATTAGTTACTTTTTCAAAGTAACTATATCATCACTGTCAGTCACAAAGGAGTCAAATATGTTTACAGATCTATCCCTGTTTTCTTAAATAAAATGTTATATTAACACAATGTTATTTTTAAACTTGTGTAAACACATTTTTGGAAATATGTCAAAGATAATTATGAATGACATGATACCATCGTCTGCCAGTAAAACTGTTTAACACCAGGGAAGAAACTTTTAGTGGCATGTTATGATGTAGAACGATCAGACCAAAAATGCACATGAATCAACATTGATTCAATATAAAATCAACCCAAATGTGCCTGTAGATCCACATTCAGATGATGGTTGAATCAGCACTGATATAGTGTCAGTTATGGTTGAAATGTTGATTCAACATGTGAGTCACTGACCACTTTCTATTTGGTCTAAATTAGTGTAAAAATCAGAAATAGAATTTATCCTTTGACCTGGAATGTCGGAAAGTTCCAGGTTTCTGCTCAGGATCTCCTGCCTGGGCTTTAAGGAGACTGGTGGTGGTAAATATGGTATCAATAATTTCATCATAGAAACTAAACATTTTTGCTATGAACACTGTTCGAATGTAAACCTGATTAGGTTGATGAGTTTTATGTTAAATGTTTATTTTGTTACAGAACAAAATGCTCATAATTGTTTTCTTTGTTTGATTTCAGTTCATTTTCTTCCATTTTCTTCAGTTTAAGAAATGTATTAAATAATTTCCTGCACTGTCCCTGTTAAATAAATAAATGGCCCAGTTACATGATGGAGATCCTTTATTTTATTATTATTGTAGTAGTGTAAAGAACCAGTACCTTTTTATTGTGTAAACTGTTGAAAAAACAAAAAGCTCCTGATAGGATTACCTGTCCAACATGGCGGCGACGTCTGAGCTAGCTAACCAGCGTCTGCGTAGCTGTGAATAAACACATTAAAAACAACTTAGAAATATTTAATCCACATTCTTGGAAAAATGTTCATCTGGTTCAGATGAATTATTTACTCAGATTGCAGCTGGAAAATTTAAACGAGAATAAAAACAAACAAAGAAACTCAGGCTGTTAGCATGTGGCTAACCGCTAGCTGAATGGTACTTCCGGTAAACTCACCAAGGGCTCAGAGCTACGCAGTAAAAATACAATATTTAAAGGATTTCTGCAGTTTATTCTGCACAACAAAAAGAGAATAAACGTTTATAACGAAAGCAGAAGTTTTCACTTCAGTCCAATTTCCTTATAATTTACTTTTGTACTGATTTAAATGTCTAATTAACACCATCCATCCACCCATCCATTTTCTGAACACCCTCGTCCCTCAGTGGGGTCCGGAGGGGTGTCTAATTAACACCTCATTCATAAATATATTCACTACGTTCTAAAGAGGTTGTACTGTTTCTATTTGTCCACAATAATTACAACTATTATGTTTATTGATTATTTTAAAAGTACCATTTCATCCTGTGTGACCAAGTCTTATTCTTGATATATCTTCATCTTCTTTTTTTATTATTCTTTCTAAATTCCTCAACTTTCTTTTGGATACTGTACTTTAATAAAATCAAGCATTACCTCTGTCTCTCTGTTCTTGCCATTTATCCTTAATAAACATTTTTACTGTATTTCGGCTCACATTCAGAGCTAATGCACCGTTTTAAGGAGTTCCCACATCCAGAGATGAATATGAGTCTTTAAAGAAAGAAAATAAAAACAATGAACTTATTGTCCAAACAGACAATAACTCAGGACCAAACCGGAGACGTGGAGGCTATGAGACAGGTTTTATCCAGAGGAAATGACCTTTAACCTGGAGAATAGGTAAGCAGAGGCAGCTGGGAAGGGAGCAGGTGAGACTAATGAGGAGTGGATGATCAGCTGGGATGAGAGAAACCAACCAAACACAGAATGAAACAAACACTGAGAACTGAGCCAACTCAAAAATAAACTAAATTTTCAGGATATAAGGGAAAAACCAACAATTACACTAATTAATTTATTTAAATCTTAGTTATTTCATTTCAAATCCTGTAACAAGGCAAATTAAGACTTCAAAATATTTAATTACAAAATTATGTTTTATAGGAAATAAAACAATTAAAATTACGAAGCTAAATTATGTCTGCTGCCTGAAATTGGCATTTTTACTTATGCAACGTTTCATTAGAACTGATATTATCAGATTATTACTGATGTTCTGCTGCTGCAGACATTTTAGAAAATGACCAGAGATGTTTTCATTAAAACTACGTCATTTCCTGTAATAAACCAGGTTTATGGACCAGCTGGTAGCCATGGCAACAACAGCATCTCATCAGCTGATCCCCCTCTCCATGATTGAGTGTTTGTGCTGACCCGGTTCTGTTCTGGACACCATCAACAGGTCCAGATGGACAGGGCCTCGGTGCCCCATTTAC